GAAATTCACCCCTGAAAAACCCTAAACCCTAACCGCCCCATTTTTCATCTTTCTAACTACGATAAATATAATTTGATCAATCAATCAGACTGCGTTTTCAAACAACAAAGACTTCGGAAGGGAAGCGCGAGAAGCAGCATGGGCGACGGAGCAGAGAACCCTCCATGGCCTTCGAAACGGCAACGACATGAAAATGTTCTCCGACAAGAGCACTTACAGAGAGATCAGCTTGATGGCCGAGGAAGCGAGGAAACGGGCCGAGATCGCGAGGATGAGGGAGCTTCATACTTTCAAAGGAAGGGTCGAGTCGTTCGCCAAGCTCAGGGGATATGATATCGACTCCATGAACCAACACTACACTCTCTGAAACTAATTGAAGAGTGATCGATACTACTGCTGCTGCTGTCGCCGGCCGGCCGGCCGCTTCTGATTTCAACCAAACCTTCCCCATGTAATTCCTTTTCCCCCTTTTCCCTCTTGGGTTTCTTCTTCTTCTTCTTCTTCTTCTTCTTTCTGTTGCAATTCTTTTCCACTTTCCATGTCATCGCTCTCCCTGCTAAACTTTCCAGAATTTGTATGTTGTATTGAATTTGTATGTGTCTTTCGGAGATACGAAAATTTGAATTATTTATTGGGTTAATATCTTAGTTTGGCCTGTATTATACACATACTTTCTACTTTGGCCCGAGGTATTGAAAATTGCTATTCTGGCATGAACTATGTAACAAACTTCCTCATTTGGCCCGGAGGCGAGTTTGACCGTCAAATTAGACTGTCAAACCTGTTGACCGTTAGTCAATGTCCACCTCAACTGCCACGTCAGCTTTGAGGACATAAAAAATTATTTTTTTATTTATGAATTTTATTTTCTTTCGATTAATAAAAATAAGAAATCAATAAAATTAATTAAAAGAATGAAAAAGGGCCCATTTTTAGCAAATGGCAAGAAAACAAAATTCAGAAATAAAAAAAATATTTTTTATGTCCTCAAAGCTGACGTGGCAGGTGAGGTGGACATTGACTAACGGTCAACAAGTTTGACCGTCTAATTTAACGGTCAAACCCGCCTCCAGGCCAAATGAGGAAGTTTGCTACATAGTTCAGGCTAGAATAGCAATTTCCAATACCACGGGCCAAAATAAAAAGTATGTGTATAGTTTGGGCCAAACTAAGGTATTAACCCTTATTTATTTATTTATGATCAAGGGTATCCACCTCAACTTTTTATTTTAGTGAATATCCATGTCAACTTACGACAATGAAAATGCAATTGCATTTTCAATCCATCGGATGTGCCCAGATGGCCAGATGGAAAGACGAAGCAGTAAGCACGGCTCATTCTGTTGATTCTGTTTCCTGCTTGGTGGATTCACCAAATTGCAGAGATTAATGAATAGTCGATTTGAATCAAAACTATGTCAAAAGATAATGGGTTAATACCTTATTTTGGCGCGAACTATGACCATATAATCAACTTTGGCCCGTGGTTTCAGAAATTAACATCCTGGCCTCAACTATGCAGCATATAGACTCCATTGGCCCGGCACATAGTTTGACCGTCAATTTGGACGGTCAACGGAGTTGACTGTTAGTCAACACGCCATGTCATTGCCTAGTCAGCCTAAAAATTATTAAAAAATGCAAATTTCAAATTATTTTTCTAATTTTTCTTATTTATTATTAAATTAACCAAAAATAAATTATAAAAAACATAAAATAAATTTGATTTTTTATTTTTTGGATAATTTGAAAAATGATAAATTTTATAAATTAACCAAAAATTATCAAATTATTTTATATTTTTAAAACTTCCCACCAAAATATAATTTATATCATAATTTTTAATTAATAAAATTTAATTTGATAATTTTTGGTTAATTTATAAAATTTATCATTTTCAAATATCACAAAAAAATTATTTTATATTTTTAGAATTTTATTTTTTGGTTAATTGGAAAATGATAAATAATAGAAATTAGGAAAATAATTTGAATTTAAATTTTTTAAATGATTTTTAGGCTGATTAGACAATGACATGGCATGTTGACTAACGGTCAACGGAGTTGACCGTCCAAATTGACGGTCAAACTATGTATCGGGCCAATTGAGTCTATATGATGCATAGTTGAGGCTAGGATGTTAATTTATGAAACCACGGGCCAAAGTTGATTATATGATCATAGTTCGGGCCAAAATAAGATATTAACCCAAAGATAATTATAGTAGAAGCATTTTAGTGATGTAGTAACAATGTAAGTTTTAAAGCACTTTTTTTTTACGATATTAGTTAGATTTTTTTGGGTGGAAAAATGGATGCAGAGCACCTCTACCTCTCGATCATTAATCAAACGCGTGGAAGAGTCCACAACCAAATTGTACATGGCCTTATGTTCGCTTGCTTATGACTGGGCAGGTTTCTATTCACCACATCTACATGGAAGCTAACTTTCTTGTTGATTGTATCGCTCACAAGGGGCATCACATCTATTGAAGCAGGCTCCCATGAAATTTCTATTTTCGATTTGGACTATTAGATAGTTGTATAAAAGTGTTTTGGTGATTTAGAAACGTAAAAAGTTTAAAACACGAGACCACTTTGCACTGAAAAAAATCGAAAACATTCTATCTCTACTCTTTCATTCGTTTTAACTCCAAATTTCATTATAATAAGAAGCATTGTCCCCCTAAAACAGGAAATTTTGGACTAAATGGTGAATTTTAATTGTTGTTATTTTACAGATTCGATATCCATCTCTGAATGGTGGAAAGAAGCTATTGAAGTTAACTTTGTGGTTTTGGATCACTAGAGAGCTAGATTTTTTGTAATGTCTGCCGAGAAGCTATTCAAAGATAGTGATAGAATTTGAGGACCTCCACCTACTTATCTTCTACAAAATGAGTTAATAGACTTTAAATTTGATAACAAACTCACTAATTAAAACATCACTAACCTCATTAGTGAATATACAATTTTATAAATGTAAGAAAGAATGAAAAAGAGCAAATCAAGACTCTGGCGATGTAATTTTTACTTCCATAAAAATGATGATGTTTACCATTGAATTTTTTATTTATTTCAATGGAATGTAAGAGAAGAAGAAATAGTCTACTGATAGTAGACATAGTGGATACGGTGAAGATTATGACGTTGTTGAGAAGAAGGAAGAGACTGTTGATGGTTGTGATAGAAGCTTCTATACCAGGAGAAAGACAAATCTCCGACAATGTTCATGATTTGGACACGATGTTTCATATTTGCATATATTTTACCATTAAATTTTGACTTACAATGAAAATGCAAGAGAAGAAAGAAGAGATAAAGGTTTTTTTAACGGAGAAGAATCTGTTGATATTGGTGGAAATGATTATTTTGTTGATGGCGGAGCAATCACAAAGAATGTGTCAAATGTGCAGTAGTTTCCAACGAAGTGTAGTTTAATTAAGACTTCATCAATGAGTTTTTTTTCGTAAGAACTTCATCAATGAGTTTTGTTTTTCTAATTTCAGTAAGGACTTTATCAATGAGTCAGTTAGGATGTCGGAAAAAACTATAGCATATACTTCTTTTCAAAAAATTTAATAACCGAATAATTTATATTTTTTATGATATTAAATAAATTTACATATTTTACTTTGTACCGTTGCTATTATTGTTTATACTAATATCTATCCGGCCAACGGGCCGGGACTAAGTCTAGTACTACTTGTGAAGTTTAGTGGTTAGCGTATCTCTTTCAAGACTTCTAAGTGCCTCATCTCAAATCGGTCTCTCTATTGTGAAGAAATAATCAGCCACATACATTACATAGAGCCTAACTTTCTCCAAATCAACGAAACACACAGAGCTTGACTGCAATTTGATTTGTGTGAGACTTCTAGTACAAATTATCAAGATTTTTTATACTCCTTCCGATAACCAGCTGGCGGATATCTTCACAAAGCCATTGTCATCCGCACTTTTACCTTCTCCTCTCTGAGCCGAGTCCTTAACTTGTACCCTCCAACAGTCGAGAACGACCATTTAGCCTATTATGTTCCTTTTTCCTATTCATTTTCATTGTTTACCATTCCTTGGCAATCAGCCAAGTCATCATGTCAGGATGATAATGGGGCGGATTTTCCTAAACCGTCTCTATCACTGTTTCAAAAAACCCAATTGCATAATTGCCACTTATTCTTCTCAAGGAGGATTTGCAACCCCATCATCCCATAATTTTCAGATACTCTCGGCCAATACCCAGTACATCCACCAAAATTTTTATGTAAGCTTGAAAAAATGTCAACTTTTAAAGATTGATGTTCAATGTCATAAGTAACAAACTAACCACAAAACAATAATCCAAATCACACATTCATAAAATATAACTAATCCATGGAAAGCATGTCTAATAGTTGTCCAAGGACCATGTAGCCTATTTTGTCTTGAGAAAGACCCTTTTAATTACCACAAATAACTTATATAATAATCGCAAAATGTTCTACATATCACGTTTCTTTTGAACTGCAGTTCAACTATCTCAATGTAAAGACAGAAGGAGACACTTTTTTGTCTCCAATTTTCCTTGGGACAATCTACTCTTAATTTTTTCCACAAAACCCTTAACAAAAGCATATTCGTTGAAAACTCCTAGCAAAATTTTAATAAAATCAAATAAACACATCTATATATGTCATCATTTTGTATGAAGACTTGTATCGTTGTACAACAGAGCACCATTCTACGATTAAGACAGACTTGTACCTGTTCAAGTTGCTAACTAGAAAAATGCAACATGAGTACGATGCTCACAGAGCTGGGAGTCATTGGATCACTCGTTTTGCGTTTCATAGTAATTTGATGGGCATGGTGACACTTTATTTGTTGTCACCGCATCCATCCAACAACCACGAAACAACCAACGTTTAATCTAACGACATCCAACTACCGTGAGTGCGTCCTCGTAGTTTGGACGGTAACCACCATAGCCAAATAGTAAAAATGGTACAAAAAGAATCGATTGCCAACTTTCACAAATGACAAAACTCAAATAGCCCCAATCCTACTTTGTGCAACATTGTGTAAACGTGAATAATATTGTGTCGACTGCGATATTTAACATATGCTTCTTTTTCTATTTTGAACACGACTGCCAGAACATTGTGCTGACGAGCAAAGTTGACAATGGGCATTTCCTCATGCGACGACAACGCTGCGGCCGCCGATCAGCGGACCTTCTTAAGCCACGACCGCCACCCTGCCCGAAATATACATACATTATGTAATAGTGCAGGCGCCGGTTTCTGCTCTCCTTTCGAATTCATTCTGTTTTTTGTTCCCTTCTGCCAACTTCCTTCCACTCTTTCCACAGACGGTCTTCATATATATACCAGACAGTTCCCTTGCATTCTCTTCATCCTCAACCCACCAATCATCAAACATCAAACATCAAACATCAATCTTCCCTTTCATATCCCCAGCTTTAAGTGTTGCTTCCCCTGAATTTGTTCCCCTGAATTTCAACAAGCGATCAGCTCGATCCGGTGCATCGAAGATGGGTATCGGGTCGCTTGATGCGGTTATGAAAGAATCTGTTGATCTGGTATGGTTAATGATTGTTCATATAGAATGTTACTGACCTTCCTTTAACAATCTTTCTTTTTCTCGATTCTGATTTTTCATGTTGGCTGGTTGGTGTTGCTGGCAGGAAAATGCACCAATGGAGGAAGTGTTTGAGCATCTCAAGTGTACAAGAGAAGGCCTGAGCTCTGATGAGGTTCAGCAGCGGCTGGAGCTGTTCGGGTACAACAAGCTTGAAGAGAAGAAGGAGAGCAAATTCCTCAAGTTCTTGGGGTTTATGTGGAATCCACTTTCGTGGGTCATGGAGGCTGCTGCTCTGATGGCCATTACTCTTGCACATGGAGGGGTATGTATTGATATATCAGAAGTTAGCCTTCCTTTCTTTCTCTGCCTGCACATGTCGATGAAAGATCATGAGTATTGATTGAGATTGATGGATGTTTGTGGTTGAATGTGCGCGCGCAGGGGAAGAGTGCAGATTACCATGATTTCGTCGGCATCATAATGCTGCTAATAATCAACTCCACTATCAGTTTCATAGAGGAAAACAATGCTGGCAATGCAGCTGCTGCTCTCATGGCTCAGCTGGCACCGAAAGCCAAGGTCCTTCGAAGCGGGAGATGGAGCGAGGAAGATGCCGCCGTTCTGGTGCCTGGAGACATTGTCAGCATCAAGCTTGGTGATATCATTCCTGCTGATGCCCGCCTTCTCGAAGGAGACCCTTTAAAGATTGACCAGGCTGCTTTGACTGGAGAGTCGCTTCCTGTGACCAAGAGTCCTGGAGATGGAGTCTACTCCGGCTCAACCTGCAAGCAAGGAGAGATAGAGGCAGTCGTGATCGCGACTGGTGTCCATACATTCTTCGGGAAAGCAGCTCACCTTGTTGATAGCACAAACAATGTCGGCCATTTCCAGCAGGTTCTGACAGCAATTGGAAACTTCTGCATTTGCTCCATCGCAATTGGCATGGTGATCGAGATCGTGGTCATCTATGGCCTGCAAAAGAGGGCATACCGAGTTGGGATCGATAATCTGCTTGTTCTGCTAATCGGTGGGATCCCAATTGCCATGCCAACTGTTCTCTCAGTCACCATGGCGATTGGATCACACCGCCTGTCTCAACAAGGCGCCATAACGAAAAGAATGACCGCCATCGAAGAAATGGCAGGGATGGATGTTCTCTGCAGTGATAAAACAGGAACTCTAACGCTTAACAAACTTTCTGTAGATAAAACCATGGTTGAGGTATTTTTTCTTCCTCTTCTATATGCAGGGGGAAAAAAGAGATCTTTGAAAGTAGATTGACTGAAAAAAATCTGTCTTTGGAACTACAGGTTTTTGCAAGGGGTGTTGACAAAGACATGGTCGTGCTGATGGCTGCGAGAGCATCGAGGCTGGAGAACCAAGATGCCATAGATACTGCAATTGTTTCCATGTTGGGAGATCCTAAGGAGGCGCGAGCTGGGATTAGAGAGATCCACTTCCTTCCGTTCAATCCAACTGACAAAAGGACTGCCCTGACTTACTTGGATGGGGAAGGCAAAATGCATAGAGTCAGCAAAGGTGCACCAGAACAGGTAACAGCCAAGTTAACCCTAAACCCACCAGAAAGCAACAGACTTTAACCACCATTCTTACTCATGATTATTCAGTATAACCAGAGTTGTTCTTGTTGTGCTAAATTCAGATCCTCAACCTGGCCCATAATAAATCGGAAATCGCGAACAAGGTCCACTCGATCATCGACAAATTTGCAGAACGTGGATTGAGATCACTTGGAATTGCCCGCCAGGTGAAATAATGAACCTTGATTCATACAAAAAGATCCATTTCGATGGTCATCAATCATTCTGAAAATAAAATTGCCTCATTTGCAGCAAGTTCCTGACGGGAACAAAGACAGCGCCGGTGGTCCATGGGAATTTGTTGGCCTTCTTCCCCTCTTCGATCCTCCTCGCCATGACAGCGCTGAAACGATCAGGAGAGCTTTGGATTTAGGAGTTAGTGTGAAGATGATTACAGGTGATCAGCTCGCCATAGGTAAAGAGACAGGAAGAAGACTCGGCATGGGAACAAACATGTACCCATCTTCAGCTCTCCTTACCGAGGGTGGAAGCGAAGCAACTGGGTCTCTCCCCATTGATGAGCTCATTGAGAAAGCTGATGGCTTTGCTGGAGTCTTCCCTGGTAACAAAATCAAACTCACTAATTTACAACATTTCATATTCATTCCTTTCCAGGTTCCCCTTTGACTGAGAACAATGTGTGGGCAGAACATAAGTACGAGATCGTTAGGAGACTTCAAGCTAGAAAGCACATATGTGGCATGACGGGAGACGGAGTGAACGATGCACCTGCCTTGAAGAAAGCCGATATCGGTATCGCTGTGGCGGACTCGACTGATGCTGCAAGAGGCGCTTCTGATATAGTGTTGACGGAGCCTGGTCTTAGCGTCATCATTAGTGCCGTGCTCACTAGCCGATCTATCTTCCAGAGAATGAAGAACTACACAGTAAGTCAAGGAAAAAACCCCATATTTTGTTTCAACATCATTCTATCCTCATAATTGGACAATAAAGACATTCACTTCTCTGCCTTTTCCAGATTTATGCAGTGTCCATCACCATCCGTATAGTGCTGGGATTCATGCTGCTAACTTGCTTCTGGAAGTATGACTTCCCACCTTTCATGGTTCTTGTCATCGCCATTCTCAACGACGGTACAATCATGACCATATCCAAGGACAGAGTGAAGCCATCCCCAGTTCCCGATAGCTGGAGGCTGAGTGAGATTTTCGCCACTGGAATCATCTTGGGCGGCTACTTAGCCCTCATGACAGTCGTTTTCTTCTGGCTAGCATACGAAACCGATTTCTTCACGGTAAAAAAGAATCAACTGAATGAATTGTTCATTCATACCTGAGCTAACCATCCACCAATGAACCACTAAATGACTTTTTTTTTCCTTTCCCCATTGACAGAAGCACTTCCATGTAAAGAGCTTCCAGAAGGGAGACTACGACCTCACAATCAAAGCAGTTGCTGATCAACTCAACCAGCAGCTAGCCTCAGCATTGTATCTCCAGATTAGCACCATTAGCCAAGCTTTGATCTTCGTCACCCGCTCCAGAGGATGGTCTTTCCAAGAACGCCCTGGCTTTCTGCTTGTCTTCGCCTTCCTCATTGCCCAACTCGTAAAAACCTCTGTTTCTCTTATTCCTCCAAATTATCAATCTCCAGGATCTGAAAATGCACAAAACTAACATCCAATGGTTTGCAGATCGCAACGGTGATCTCGGCGGAAGCGAACTGGGAATTCGCGGGAATCAGAAGCATAGGGTGGAAATGGACAGGAGCGATCTGGGCTTTCAACGTCGTCACTTACATGCTCCTTGATCCCATCAAATTCATGGTCACGTACGCTCTCAGCGGCCGAGCTTGGGGGCTGGTTGTGGACAAAAGGGTATGTTCGATGAAATTCACCCCTGAAAAACCCTAAACCCTAAACCGCCCCATTTCATCTTTCTAACTACGATAGATATAATTTGATCAATCAATCAGACTGCGTTTTCAAACAACAAAGACTTCGGAAGGGAAGCGCGAGAAGCAGCATGGGCGACGGAGCAGAGAACCCTCCATGGCCTTCGAAACGGCAACGACATGAAAATGTTCTCCGACAAGAGCACTTACAGAGAGATCAGCTTGATGGCCGAGGAAGCTAGGAAACGGGCCGAGATCGCGAGGATGAGGGAGCTTCATACTTTCAAAGGAAGGGTCGAGTCGTTCGCCAAGCTCAGGGGATATGATATCGACTCCATGAACCAACACTACACTCTCTGAAACTAATTGAAGAGTGATCGATACTACTGCTGCTGCTGTCGCCGGCCGGCCGGCCGCTAATATTGTTCTGATTTCAACCAAACCTTCCCCATGTAGTTCCTTTTTCCGTTTCCCTCTTGGGTTTCTTCTCCTTCTTTCTGTTGCAATTCTTTTCCACTTTCCATGCCATCGCTCTCCCTGCTAAACTTTCCAGAATTTGTATGTGTATTTCGGAGATATGAAAATTTGAAATTATTGATTTATGATTAAAGAGTATCCACATCAGCTACATTGAATTCCAAAATTATATGGCAATGTAAATGTCTATATGTAGGTTGAGCATCGATGTTTACTTGTTTTAGGGATGATAATTTGAACCCATCCTAGCTGATATTATCCGACCTGATCTGTGATGGGACGGGTATTACCCGACCGGCATTAACGTAATAACATGGAACGAAATATGGGTATTGAGGTAACCGCCTAGCCCATTGCCATCACTATCTGTTGTTGCTGCGTTGAAGGCTAAGCTCTCTCAATGATTGTCAATGGCAATTGCTTGAGATTTGTTTAAACAAATAAGAAAAGGGTATGGGAGATCAATTGGACTTGCGATCTGGGTTGGGTTTTTTCACCTTTTAATTGGGTTACCAAATTTGGATGTCTTTTATCGTTACAGAACTCATTCTATTGATTTTGTTTCCTGCTTCTGTGTCGAAAGATAATTTTCGTGTAAGTTTTGAAGCGCGATTTTGATTATATTAGTTGATAGCTACGTAAAAACGTTTTGATAATTCAGAAGTGTTAAAACATAAACTTGCAGACCAGTACCATATGAATGCTAATCCGAAACATTGATTCACCACTACATAGTCTCTAATATGAGTGTACTCCAAAATATTCAAACAAATTGTTATACCACTTAAAATTAATCAGAGCACAAGAACCATTTAACCAAATGAAACCTCTAATTAAACACACAAACCTCAAAAGTCTACTTAGAAATTCTCCAACCAAAACACAAACCTCAAAAGTCTACTTAGAAATTCTCCAACCAAAACACAGCAATACTAAACATCGCCACTAAGACAAAATTGGGGCTTTTTTTCACTCAAACGCCCACTGATTCTCCCTGCGCACCTCTTCTTCCTCCTCCGGTGTGAAATCATTCTTGATGTTGAAAATCGCCCTAATCTCCTCGGGAGTCTTCCCCTTCATCATGTTCGCCACCGTCTGGCAGGTCAGATCCAGCAGATCCTTGATGTTCAAGTAATTAGCGGCCAGGATTAGGTCGAACAGGGTGTTCTGATCGACCTTCACGAAATCCTCGTCCCAGCTCTTCAGACCGCCGTCCGCCGCGGCGGCGCCGGCGAATCCGTCGGGTTTGGGAGCCTCGTGGTGCTTCTTGCAGTACTCGATCACCTTCGCCAGGATCCCGCCGGTGACGTTGGGGAGAGGGATGCCGTTGTCGGCGCAGTCGTCCTCGATCATGTGCTTGATCGTCTGCGACTGCATCGCCACCGCCTCCTCCACCTCGAACGACTCGCCGTCGCTGCTCTTCAGGGTGATGAGTTTCTTCTCCGCCGCCGCCTCAGACGTCGACATTGTGGCGATCGATTAGGAGACTTCTTGGCCGCGAGCTATTAGCAGTGAATGGGGTTTGTGAATCGGGTTGAGCGGGGCGTGGGCTGTTTATATAGAGAGAATTGAAGAGGCAGGGTGAGTTTTCATAGCCCGTATAGGGAAAGGAAATTGGAAAGGTGCAGTGCAGAACGGAAAAGGGATTAGTACTTTCTAGAAGCTAGCATAGGGATTTTCCGCATAGGAGAATGACTTAATATTTTGCCCCAAGAATTAAAACGAATTACTATTCTTTTGGTTAAAATAATATAATATTCGATCGCCTAATCTGGCATTATGATACCTCAGGTGAGTACACTGTGAAGTCCGGTTATCACCTGGCTTCTGCTGAGTTTATTGCTAATCCTTCCACTATCCCTACTTTAGTTGATTCTAAGGCCTGGAAGTTCTTGTGGTCTTTGAAAGTCCCACCCAAACTACGTTTCTTTTTGTGGCGGCTTGTCCTTGGATTCCTGCCAGTCCGTGTCGTCCTGCAGGACAAGGACATTATTCCTGAAGATGATGAAGAAGGGATTTGGTGCCCAATTTGTTCTGCTGCCCCTGAATCCCTATTCCATTGTTTCTTCCAATGCCGAATTTCTGAGTCGGTATGGCAGTTGTTGGGGTTGGATCATCTCCTTGTTCACTTTCATGGGTG